CCCTTCCCTTCCCTTCCCTCCCCGCCTCCTCAACCCCGGGTCCTCGCTTCGCCTCACCAAGTTTACCAGGAGGGTCTTCCTTGCTGAAGCAGGACCTTCTGTGTCTTTCAAAGACACCTCGCATGTACCGAAAGTGTCGGTGAGACGAGACAAGCATGCGGGGGGAGGAGAAGCAGAGGAGGAGGGAAAGGGGCGGGGAGAGGAGAAGCAGAGGAGGAGGAGGAGGAGGAGGAGCAGCAGCAGCAGCAGCAAGGGCAGCAGCAGCAGCAGCAGGGGCAGGGGCAGGAGGGGCTGAAGGAGAGGGAGTGGAGACGTCGAAGTGACAGGGAGCAGGTGCTGGAGTATTGGCTCTTTCTCAAGACTCTTCTCTTCTCGCTGTGCTCTGAAACTTGACGAGGAGGAGGAGCAGGAGCAGGAGCAGGAGGATGGCGTCTCGTTCCACTTCAGTCATTTTATAACTTTAACATTCAGATCAACATGAAACAAATGGTAGAGATGAAAACAGCACATCTCATCTCAATATCTTCCGACCTCACGCCTCTACATCATCATCATCCTCATCATCATCATCATCATCCTCATCATCATCCCCTTCATCTCCTCCCCTTCTCTCCCTCCTCCACCTGCCCCAGGTCAAAGGTGATGTGCTGTGGCTTAGCCGAGCTCTCGATGAACCCGATCGTCTCTCCTCCTCCTCCTCCGTGATCCTCGGGGCTCCATATCGATGCTGACGGCCACATGGCCTTGCCGGAAACCATGATGTAGGCCTTGGGGGCCTCGTGCTGGTGCTGCTTGGCCGAGCTTGTGGCTCCGCTGCTGAAAACGTTGTTGAGGGACCATCGATCTTCCACAAACGTCTTCTGCTGCTTCTTCTTCTTCTTCTTCTCCTTCTCCTGTGTAGAGATCCGCATGTCCTCCCTGTACGCCTCCACCCGCCCCTCGACGTCGAGCTTCTTCCACATCGCGTCTGCTCGGGGCCTCAGCCACCCGCAGCCTTTGACGAGGAAGGGGTAGGCCATGCAGAGCACCAGCGCTCCTCCTAGCACGCCAACGAGCGGATAGACGACGTGGAGGACGTTGAAGGAGGAGGAGGAGGAGGAAGAGGAGGAGGAGGTGCCGTTGGCCGTCGCTCCTCCCGTCACGTTGCACTTGTACAGGATGTCGTCGCACAGCTGACCCCCGTTGGCTGCGAAGGCCTTGGGGAGGAAGGCGAGGCTGAGCGTGACGTCACCGAGGGCCTGCGGGGAGAGCGTGAGGGAGGGCGGGGGTAGGGGGATGGCACCTTCAGCTTATCGACAAGAGACTGAGATTTGTCACCCTCGACGACGATCTGAGCGACACGCACTGCCTCCCTCTCCGACGGCATGATGACGCGGAACCTGATCGTGACCCCCTGCTGCTCGGTCTGGAGGAGCTGAGAGGGAGGGAGGCTGCTGCTGGGGGAGAGCTGGCCGAGGTGAGAAAGTTTGCGGCGACGTGGAAAAGGTACGAAGCTGTCGATCTCGACCTTGCTGGGGTCGACGCCGGCGACTTCAGCCAAGATGGCCATGAACAACGCCTGGAGGGAAAGTGAGGAAAGGGGAGGGGGGGGAAGAAATGGGGGAGAGAGAGACGAGGGAGCAGAGGGAGATGTGGAAGGAGAGGGGAGGGAGGAGGGGAGATGAGGAGGGGGCAGTGAAGTTTGGAGAGAGGGCACCAGCCCACAGCGACAAGGGGAGAAGAAAGGGGACAGGGAGAGGTAGGAATGTTGGAAGAAGCAGGGAGGAGCGGGCAGGGAGAGGAGGGGGCGGGTAGAGCGACTGACCTGGTTCCCCTCCAACGAGAAGTCACTAACGCTGATGCCGATGATGTTGAACTCAGCAAGGACGTGCGTGTTCGACTCGTTGCAGAGCTTGCCCGTGAGCTTCTCGGGGCAGGAGCAGGAGCACGCGCTCAGGTAGCTCTTGACTCCTCCTCCCGCGCACGTGACGTTGCAGCAGACAGCAGGAAGGTTCTTGTTGCCGCACTGCCCCGCGGCACAGTCCATGGAGACGTAGCTCCCGCCGCAGGCCTGCGGCTTCTGGAAGAACAAGTTGCCCCTCCTGCTGGGGTCCTGCAAGATGAAGGAGGGGGAGAGGTCGTGGCCAACCAAGTCCCACCAGCTCCTCGTCGCCTCGTTGACGGTGGAGGAGCAGCAGCCGTCGAGGATGAAGAACGCGTTCAGGCTGGAAGAGCAGGTGGAGGGGCAGGTGGGAGAGCCTGCAAAGTTGAAGGGAGGGTTTTGAATCTCCTCCGCTAGTGAGGGGACGGAGGAGAAGAGGGAGGAGGAGGAGGGGGAGGAGAGGAGGGAGGACACTGGGCAAGAGCCCAGCTCCGACCTGCTCTCAAGCAGGGGCTGGACACAGCGCTGCCCTTTCTCGTTGCCGAAGCAGATTGTTGAGATGTTGAAGAGAGCGTCCGTGAGATCAAGCAGCTGCGGAGAAGATGAGAGGAAGGAGAGGGAGAGGACGAGGACGAGGAGGACAAGGAGGGAGAGGAGGGAGAGGGAGAGGAAGAGGAAGAAGAGAATGAAGAGGGAACGGGAGAGGGTGGGGAGGAGGAGAAAGAAAAGGGATGAGGCCAAGGACGCGGAGGAATGAAACAGGACATCTTGGAAGCAGGGGAGAGTAAGGAATAGAAGGAGGTAAGAGCGATGCAGCAGCAGCAGCAGCAGCAGCAGCAGCAGCAGCAGCAGCATGCCTCTGTTTGGCTCACCTTCCCCAGTATCCTCCTCGTCATGATCGACTGCTCGTTGACGACCGGGATGGAGAGGCCGGGCAGGAAGGAGAAGAAAGAAGAGTCCGTTGACTTCCAGGCGGCAGAGCACTTGAGAGCTGAGGCCTCCAGCGTCTAGCAGAGCAGTCAATCAGTCGGAGAGCAGGAGGAAGACCGAGACGGAGAGGGGAGGAGGGAGTAGGAGAGGAGGAGAGGAGGAGAGGAGGGACGTGGGGACGAGGAGGAGATGGGTAGATGGGAGGACGGGAGGACGGGAGGACGGGAGGACGGGAGGACGGGAGGACGGGAGGATGAGTGGGACGGAGGGAGGTGCAACTCACAGCCTTGAAGTCCTGGTAGCAGGAGCTCTGACATATCTTGTCCATGGTTGCCGAGTCGACCCTGCTGGGCCCGATGGTCCCGTCAGCTCGGAAGATGCTGGAGAAGATGAGGAGGCAGTCCGGAGTCCTGCTGGCGAACTGGCGGAGGGTCGATAAGGAGTCGTTGCAGGTCCTGTAGACGTTGAGCTGCTGCAGGAAACCCTTCTGATCGATCTCCTGCACTTGGAACCTTAATTCCGCCTGCTCCCTCCCGTCAGCACTGAGCCTTCCTCCTCCTCTTCCTGGTCCTCCTCCTCCTCTTCCTGGTCCTCCTCCTCCTCTTGCTAGTCCTCCTCCTCCTCTTCCTGGTCCTCCTCCTCCTCTTCCTAGTCCTCCTCCTCCTCCTCTTCCTGGTCCTCCTCTCCCTCCTCCCTCCTGGTCCTCCTCTCCCTCCTCCCTCCTCCCTCCTCCCTCCTCCCTCCTCCCTCCTCCAAACACCCAGTATCCTCATCCTACTACTTCCCTCTCTTCTCCCTTGTCTCGCTTCACGAGTCCACCTTCGGCCTTGTCCTCCTTACCCCCTTTACCCTCCTCCTCCCTCCTCCCTCCTCCCTCCACCCTCCACCCTCCTCCCACCCTCACCGCTGATGTGGGCTTAAGGTTCCATAGGGTGGCATTGGAGGGCTGCTGGACGAAGGGGAAGAGGACGTTGTTGACCTGCGGGTAGTTCTGGGAGTTGACGAGGGAGAGGGGCATGTAGATCTGCAGCTGCCACTCCCTCGATACAGACAGCTGGAAGACGTCAATGACGTCGTTGAGCGAGCGGGTCAGGATGGCATTGTACACGTCCCCGACCGCCAAGATGGAGGAGGAGGAGGAGAACACAATGCTGAAGGGCACGTAGCCCCAGTACTGGAACTTCGAGATCGGGTCGATGAAACGGCAGGGGATGGGGTCCCTTCCCTGGTTGCAAGGAGTGGCTCCGTCCTGTCGTCGTTGTCAGCCTCTCCTCCCTGCCTCTCCTCTCCGCCTCTCCTCTCTCCATCTCTAGCTCTTCTTCCACCATAGCTCCCTCTGCTCCCGCTCCCGCTCCTGCTCCCGCTCCTGCTTCTGCCCCTGCCCCTGCTACTGCTACTGCTCCTGCTTCTGCTCCTGCTCCTGCTACTGCTACTGCTACTGCTACTGCTCCTTCTCCTGCCCCTGCCCCTGCTTCTGCTCCTGCTCCTGCTCCTGCTCCCAACCCTCCTCTTCCTCACCGGCAGGGGGAAGATGTATCCCGTCGCCCAGCCCTCGTGCGCGCTCCTCCGCACTCCATCCTCCTTGCCGTCGCATCCATGCACGTGCACCGAGATTCGAAGGCCCACCACAGAGACCTTGAGCATGCACAGCAGGTTGTGGACCCCCTCTTTCTTCTTGTAGATGATGGGGTCCTGCGCGTTGAACGACGGTTCCAGCTGGCAGGAGCGGAGGAGGATGCAGGTGAAGAACTTGTCGTTGTAGCTTGCGAACGAGCAGGCAGCATCCTGAACGCACAGCGTCATGCAGTGATCGGGCTGGTACACTTGATCTTGCTGTCTGATAAACCCGACCTCACCACACCTCACCCTCCCGACGTTGTCAAACAGGCCGTCCCTGTTCCCGTCCGCGTACGTCTGCCCCTCCCACTCCCCCGTGAAATCCTCCCAGCTGTCCTCGTGCCGCCGGAACAGAAACTCGGTCACCCCCAGTGGCTGCGTCCCATTGGTACTGCCGAACTGGCAGGGGTAAGTCCAGCTATCTACCGCCTCCCCGACTTTCATGACCAGCGAGTCTGGTGGGGTCGTAGCTGGGGGAGGAGGCTGACCAGAAGTGTTGGTCATGTTGACGTCAGCAGCCTCCCGCACCGCCTCGAGGAGGTAGGGGAGCGTGTCGGGGAACGAGCTGGTGCCGTTGGCGAAGAAGGTCAGGTTGAACACGTCCTCCCACGAGTACCGCTGCTCCACCTCCTTCATCTCGCTGTAGTAGAAGGTGGCAGTGAAGAAGCTACCGACCTGCCATCGGCCGTCAGGAGTCAGTCGCAGGTGGAGGGAGAAGGTAATCACGTGGACTGTGACTGCTGACACGTTGGACTTGCCCACGAATTTGCAGGGGTAGCAGTTGCTGCTGGGGACCTGCTGGTCTTGGGGGTAGATACCGCTGTCCATGATCTCCAGCCACTCGTTCTGAAGGTACACACAAGGCGTCAGCGAGGAGAGCAGAGCAGCGGAGACAGGGAGGGAGGACGGGGGGGGGGGGGGCGGGGAGATAGCAAGGGGAGGAAGGAAAGCGGGTGGAGTCAGGGGTGGGGGAGATCAGGAAGAGAGGAGAGGGAGGGAGCAGGAGAAGGGAGGGAGGTGGGAGCGAGAGGAAGTAGGGGAGCGAGGGAGAGCAAGAGCACAAGGCAGGACGTCGCAGCATCAGCAGTTCAACCTTCCTCATGTGGTGTTGGAGGTAGAGGGTGACTGTGCTCGCGTTGACCGGGGCGACCCGCCACTGGCATCTGCCGGAGTTCACGAAGACCCCAGCTGGGACCCCCACCCTCCCGCTTTGCTCCATGATCTCCTGGTACCCCTGCTGGCAGGGGCAGCCGAAGGGGTTCAGGGCCACGTTTGCGGCCTCGTTGGTGAGCCGATCTTGCAAGGACGTCTGGTAGATCGCTCGAAAGGTCGCCTGCAACCCCAGCATCTCGAAGAGGTGCAAGTTAAGCCTCCCCACATCCGTCGTGTTGGCCAGCACGGTCTCAGCTGAGGAGATCCCGGACAAGCTGCCCAGCAGCGCCGCCATGGTCAGGAACTGGTCGCTCCTGGTCGGATACCTGCAAACATCCGGCGAGCTTCCAAAGCAGCCGAACCCCAGCTCAACCGTGCAGTTGGCCGAGCAGCCGTCGCCATCGATCCTGTTCCCGTCGTCACACTCCTCCCTCAAGTGCCACCTCAGGTCGTTCCCCAGCATGATCGCCGGATCCTCGCAGAGTCTCATCCCCCCATACGCTGCCGACCAGCAGCCCGTCTCCCTCTCCTGCCTCACCCCGTCCCCGCAGAAGGCGACCGGCGCTGGGGTGGCGAGCACTGCGGTGGTGGTTGGAGCAGGAGTCGTAGCAATCTCGGTAGTCTCGATTACTGCAGCTCGGGTCGTGGTCGTGACAGGCCTCGTCGTCGGGGCTGCCGTTGTCGGGGCTGCCGTCGTGGCCTGTGCTGTGTTCTGCCGGCACTGGATAGGGTTGAAGCCCAGCTGGATGAGAGTTGGGCAGGGCTGGCAGCATGCCTGACCCGAGCAAGAGGCCCCAGCGCCCTCGAAGGCGGTGGCATAGGGAATGCCGTTGATGACGGGGCAGGGGGTGCAGCTCGAGAGGCCCGCGGTGTCAGCGTAGAAGCCGACAGGGCAGGGGGCGCAGAAGAGCACACCAGCGTTCCCAGGGGAGCAGGGGGGGCAGAAGCGGAGGTTGAGGATGCGGGCAAGGTAGCCGCTGGAACATAGGACGCCGGAGGAGTTGATGCTCTTGCCGACGTCAGCTGGGATGCAGGTGAGGGGGTCGCTGCCGAGACAGGAGTCGGTGAGGATCTCGTTCTGGATGAGGAAGGTGTACGACGCGACGATGGCGCCTCCCGCCACGTTGATCGCCGGGTTCGAGAAGTTGTCCATGGAGCTATAGAGCAGCAGCGTGTAGTTGCCGAGGCCGGCCGACTCTGACTCGAGGGTGTTGGACCCGCTGTAGCCACTTGGAGCAGGGTCAGGGTAGAGGACAGTCGAAAACCAGGCGAGCTGTCTGCCGTCCTTGTAGATGGAGACCTTGTTGGGAGGGAACGCGATGTTGGTGGTGAACTGCCAGTAGACCACGAACTTGAGTATCTGCCCGCTCCTCCACACTCTCTCCAGCAGCACGATGGCATAGAAGCACTGGTCGCGGGAGATCGCGTTCTTGTCTGCCGTCGAGTAGGAGGAGGGGCAGGGCATGCACTTGGTTCCAGCGCGCACAGGTTGGTAAGTCCCAACAGGACAGTCTAAGCAAGGGTTCAACCCAGTTGCCGAGTACATCCCTGCCGGGCAGATTGTCCCGCATGCCTGCTCCCCGCCGTTGTCCGCAAAGTACAAGGTCGTGTTGCCTTGCGCACAGTCGCTGCAGTCCGACCAGAACGTGGCCGAGGTCTGGTTGACGTAGTCAACAACCCACGCCTCTGCAAGGCTCTTGGTGAGGTACGGGGGAATGGTCCACCGCAGACCCAGCTTGGACGGCTCAGTATACTGGCCGATCTGGCAGACGGCGTTCTTGGAGTAGGCTGTGAAGGTGAAGGTGAAACTAGCTGAAGGGCTGGAGACGAGAGATTGGATCAGCAGCCCGATGTCAGCCTCTTCCAGGTTTGTAGCCCTATATGTGACGTTCACGATCTGACCGTTCTTGAAGTTGGAGCTCGTGAGGAAAGCCTTGGAAAGCCCCCGACTGTATGCTACCTTCCTGCAGGTCTGAACTCTGCAGAAGGTTGGGTAGGCACTTGTAGCTTGCGAAGTGCAAGGTGTCCCGCACTGAACACCAGGAAGGAGGGTCGTGGACCAAGAGAGGTCGGCGTTGAGAGCCGCAGGAAGGGCAGCAGAGATGTTGATGTAGTCCGAAGCCAAGAGCGACCCTGTCATGGAGATCTGAAGAGCTGGAGGAGGGAAGGATCAGAGGAGGAGGCAGATGCCGCATCAATTTCTCACCGATTAGTCTAGGCGAGCTTGTCGGTTTGATCAGCCACGTCCTGTAGACAGGGGAGGAGGAAGTTGGCGTGCTGACCTGGATCGCTCCTGACGTTACGTTCCCTCCTCCTGCCTCTGCCGCCGCCTCGATCACTTCGACTGGCATCGTGGTGGTCGCTCGTAGCTGCACGCTCGACCTTGATGCATCAGGATCTCTTCCTCCCTCTACCCCCTTCCTGCTCTTGCTCTCCATCCCCCCTGCGGCCCCAGCGTCTCCGTTGGTGCTGCCACCCTCGCTCAACAGCTTCCTTGCCGTACTCTTACCAGCTGGAGGGTCTCTGCCGACCTTAGTGAGAGTGAAGCCGCGCTTGGTTGAGCTGCAGTTCAGCAGGTGGAAGTTGTGCTGGTGGAAGTTGGAACCCTGCAGGGGGAGTATCTCAGTGACTAGCTCGCAGTACGTCCCCTCGAAGAGCGCTCGCGACTTCCACGTCCCGACGATCGCTCCTGCGCTCCCCAACACAGGCTGCACGCTGGCGTCATGCCATGCAGCTCTCGTTCCAGGGGCGGGGGTGAGCGAGTAGTTGAGAGGGAGGCCGGTAGGGCTTGTGAGGAAGATTCTGAAACCAGCGGAGCAGTTGTTCCAGAAGCTACCCTTGTGCCATTGGAAGGGTTTGTAGTCCCCTGAGCAGACGTCAGCCAGTCAGTCAAGCAACTGCTCGGGAGGACAGGACAGGACGAGAGCATGCTCAAGAGGAGGGGAGAGGACAAGAGCATGCTTGCGAGGAGAGGAGGGGATCGCCTTACCTTCCGTGTAAAAGAAGGAGAGGCTCGTCTGGGACAGGTTGAATATCCCCTTGCCCTGAAACCTCGCGCATGTCGCGACAGGGATGGTGGTGGGGGTGACGACGTTGCTCCTGTTCTCTACAGCGACTTGCACGTGCTCGAACAGCAGGCCCTCGAACTTAATGGCGAACACGCACGAGTAGTTGGTTCCAGGTATCGGATGCGTGCTGCTGAACCTGCCCTGCAGGTAGCGTACGGACTCGGCAGGCTGAGCGGGGCACCTGTCAGAGGGGCAGGCCTGCGTGATGCTGTCTTCGTTGCAGAGGCACTGGGAGCACGGGACGCAGTTTCCGCACTTGTAGAACCATCCTTCCCAGGAGTTGCACCAGGTAATCTTGCAGAACTCGTTTTGCTTACATTCAGAATGGTCAATGCAGCCCGAGGCAGACACCCACGAGCTGGGAGTAGCAAGACCGAGCAGCTCCGGATACAGCTCGATCGTCACGCTCATGGGGAGGGAGCTGAAGAGAAGGAGGGAAAAGAGGAGAAGGCGCATCGTCGTGGAAGGGACGGTGGTTGTCCCGTATGTACAGCTGTTGAGATGTCCAGGAGCCACTGCGGCAGGGGAGGCTTGTCAGGAGAATCTACCTAGGAGGAGAGGGAGGGAGAGGAGGAGAGGAGAGGACTGAGATGTTCATGTCTGCTACGTCCCTCTGTCATGGCGCACGACGCAGGTGGCTGTTGGGCCCAGGCGCCATTGTGCCGGAGTCCGGAAGTGGGAGGGGTGGGGACTTGAAAGGAGGGGGTAGGGGGTGTTTGGTTTGGTACGTGAGACGGGTTGTAGGACCACAATAAGTGATGTAAGCAGAGGGGGTGGGTGGGAATGTGATGGGGTGGTGAAGCAGGAACAGAGTTTGACAAGGGCGGTCAAGGCCAATGCATGATGCAGCAAGGAGGGATGGGGGAGGAGAGGAGGGAGAGGAAGGGGAGGAGGAGGAGGTGAAGGGTACGATGGTGTAGGGGAGGAGGAGGAGGAGAACGGTACGATGGTGTAGGGGAGGAGGAGGAGGAGGAGGAGGAGGAGATGATATACCCCCACAAAGAGATGGGGGAGAGGAGCCGCGAGAAACACACAGGTACTAGGAGCTAGTATGCGACAGGATGTGCTTTTCAGCTAGGGGACAAGAGCAGAGGAGGAAACCATCGTTACGAGCCGAGCAGGAATGGAATTGAAATCGTGCGTCAGATGGGATTGTTCAATCGCGTCGAAAAGCCGCTTCCTCACAAAGAGCATTCGTGTCGAGGAACGCGCTAGGGTCGGGGTGATTGAGGTACCAGAGATGGAGTTTGATCGCTGTACTTGAATCTAATTGAGAGTGTCGATGAACCTCACTGGCTGACGCTTGTGCTGGTCGTCGATCTCAGCATGGTTGACCTGGAAGAACATGTGTCATGAAGGACAGCGAGTTTGAACGAGAAATGTCATCAAGAGATTGAAGTGATAAATGTGACATGTCGTCATGAAACAAGTGAAACGTCATCATCAGGGTGAATTTACCCAGCTGTCAGAGACCAACTTGTCGACGATGCTCTGCTTCTTGCTGTGCTTGGTCGATCCTCGTCTCGCTGCCATCTGTCACAGCGTTCAGCCGCTGAGCCAACTATGAGCAAGCATGCCACCGCACCTTGGCCGGCTCCTCAGACTCAGGGAGGCGAGCACGCGCAACTTGTTGCTGGGGGGCCTCGGAGTCAGCAAACGGGCTGCGAGGGAATTCGTCCTCCATCTTGCCTGAGTGTGGCCGAAGTTCGAGTCCTCCCACTTCTGCCAGCGCAAGGCAGCCTTCTGGCGGAGGTTGGCCACCTTGCTGTGAGCAACAGCTCCCTTGGCGCCGGAGAAATGCGCCATCCTACAACGATCCCCTCAGACTGCAAAGGGACCTCGACTGCAGTTCATCGCGCACACCTCTGCTCGGCAGTGGGCTGAGCTCCCTTGCCGATGGGCTGGAAGTAAGAATTCTCCCAGGAATCCACGTTCTTGGCTCTCTTGGGCATCACCTACCAAGGAGCGCTCTCAGGACCTCATAGGGAAGGAGCTGTTTCCTACCTTGGTATGCTGGGCATACAGCCCGGTGCGGGTCTTGAGGTTCAGCGGGATCCCAGCAGCGGGGTGGAAGTAGGAGTTCTCCCACTTCTGCCAGGACTTTGCAGCTGAGCACAGGGGCGTCAGAGCGACTTTGGAGTGGTTGGTCACCCCACCTGCACGGAACAGGCGGTTGCTGCCATGAACGACTTGGGGCGCCTTCTTGTGCATCGCTGTAGCTCCTCTTGTTACAGGCAGCTCGTCAACACACTCTGAGCATCCCCGCACCTTCATACTCCTCAGCGGTGAGGGTGTGCGGTCTTGGCGCATGGTGGGCATGCCCAGCGACCTTGGGGTGGGGGACAGGAGGCGTCATGCCAGTCTCAGCCCAGATCGAGTTGGCGGCAAGGACCGATGACTGAGAGGAGCGATCAGATGGAAACGAACAGCAAGTGGGTATGAGACCTGTCTAGGCCTCAGGGTAGAGATGACGAGAACAGTGGCGATGACTGCTGCGCAAGCAGCAACTGCAGGGAAGAGCTGTTGATAAGCCATGTCAGGTGCTCACATCGACTTCGGACGCTCACGCACACAGATCACAACTATGTATCAAGTATGCCAAGGAAATGAGGACACACTGACCAATAGTTATGATGCCTTTTGCTATCGAGAAAACCTTTCTCGAGTGGTATGATCAGGCCTTGCAATCGTGTTCTACACCCCATACTCGCTAACTTCATCGCTCAACACACTCTTACAGCATGTAGTGCATTAGCAAGATGGCATCCTCCTCCTCCGTTGCCACATCTCTCACTCATCTCTTCCCAGCATTCCCCGTCTTTCCTTGTTTCTTACCTTCCCTGCCATGAACGGCGAGTTGAAGAGACAAATCGGACCCACCCACCCTACCTATCTCCTGATCAATACCCCACCCCATATGTTACGGATAGCCTAGCTTTGAACTTCCACAACTGATGGCTACTGATTTTTAACTTAACTTTGAGTAAAGAGATGGCTACTGGAGGCGGATGGCATGGGTTAAATCCTGGACTTCAGCATGTCACATGTGTTTGACAATGATGGAATACCGGACCTCGCTCGGAGCAAACTGCAAGCGGCAGCACAGCGGAAGATCCGAGGGCATCGTAATGCATATGCTCAGCACGTCCCGCCAAAGGCCTTTCTTCCCATCATCGCCAGCACTGATGGCCTCTTGCAGGACCGTATCGGATGCGTTGCGCTTTCTGTGGTGGCTGGCGGATCGCTCGGCGAACAAGGAAACGGCAGCGCTGGATGGTCTCTCGGCCTCGCAAGACGTCTCAGGTGATCCGACTTGCAAACGCATCCGGTCCAGGATCTTTCGTCAGCTCAAGGCCTCCCTGTCCGGTAGTACGCTGCCATCATCGCGGGTGCATCCCGGTATTCGGCGGCGGCCACCGCGACATCGCTGGCATGGCGGCGCGGGGGGATTGTCCAGCGCGCCGTTAAGTGAAGGTATCAGTTAAGTTTGGGGGACAGCAGTCGGCAGGTTTAGGTTTGGTTCTCGCTGTCTTTTCTCTTCTCGCCGTTTGGCCTGTGCGACAGTGTCAGGGTCAAGCCTCCTCGACTCTCCTGATTGTCCTCGTACTGATCTTTAACTTAACTTTGAGTAAAGAAGCTAGCCGCACTGAGGGTGACCCGGTAGCGAGTGACTCCGCAGTGACCGCCGCCGTCCGATCCGATGATCCGTACGTCACCCGGCCCGTCCCGGAGTCCGGTCGGCCGGGCCCGGGCCGCCCGGCCGCCCGGCCCGGACCGGACCGATCGGCCCATGACTCATCGTCAGGATCGTCACGGTACGGTCACAGGCTGTCACGGGCCCCGGGCCGGCGGTCACCCGGTTGACTCGAAGCCTTCAAAAGTTCCTCACTCCTCCCGGGGCCGGGGCCCGGCCCCGGGCGCGAGCACGGGCCGCGGGTGCAAGGACTGCGGCCCGGGGTCGGAGGGAGCATTTGCGAGCACGGGCGGGTCCGATCGGTACGACGGTATGCAAGGGCGTGACTGCGGGCCCGGGAAGCGGGCCCGGGATATGCGAGCACGTCACAGAGTCGCCGGGACTGAGGCAGCCGCATCAGCCTGGCATGCAAGCCTGACTGCCGCGTTGCAGGGGAAGCGGCATATTGAGCGAGCACAGACGGCGGGTCCGATCAGCATGCCAGCAAGGACAGCAGGCCCGGAAGGGAGGAGAAGCCCGCATGGGAAGGTCTGATCGCCAGCGGCTACCTTGCAAGGCTCTCGTCGTATGTGAGCTTGATAGAGGCGCAGGGACCATGAGCCTGCGGGTGCCACTTGAGATGCCGCTGAGTGCGACCGTACTCCTTGTTAGGTGAGCTCAGCTGAAGCACTGTCAGTATCAGATCGTGAGGGTCTCACACTGACACGGTGCTGCTGGATTGACGAAGCCATTGACTTGCCTTGAGGTCATAGATGTCTAGCTCCCTTCCCAGCCGTTGCGCTTCCAGCCGGGCCGGCCTGTGCGTACTGGCAAGAGCCGTTTGAAGCCGTTACGGAGTCATCACCATTTCATCTCGGAGCCTTGAGCAGTTCGCACCTCCTGGAGCTGCAGCAGGCGTCTTGACGGCAGCATCGTAATCAGTACGAGGACAACGACTGAGTACGTACGGTACTTCCAAGTTCTTTTACTCAAAGTTAAGTTAAAATCAGTACGAGTCAACTTCAGTTGCTGCTTCAGTTGCAGGAGTTACAGTGTAGGAGGGGGATGAGGGGAGCCACCAAGCTGGAAAAATGCCGAGACGTTGCGGAGTAGGCGATGATGATGATGGTGAGGAGGAGGAGGAGGAGGTGGTGGTGGTGGAGGAGGAGGATAAAGACAAGAAGCATATCGCAGGCTCTCTCCCCTGCCATCCCTTCTCACAAGTCATGACCTCGACGGACATGCTCTCCGACGAGCTGCTTCTGCGTCAAGACCCCTGGAGCAGCACATATCGTGCCGTCCTGGGCTGCGAAGAGAAGCTGCGACCAGTGTGCGTGCAGGTGCTCAGAGCTGACGGAGTGCCGGGAGACTCCAAGGCCGAGGTCGAGGACTTGATCGAGAACCTGGCGGAGGAGGCGGAGAAGATGGCAGGTCTTTCGCACCCCAACATCGCGCAGGTCGTGGGGTACGCCAAGGACGAGGACGCGAGGATGGGATGCCTCATCATCGACTGGCCGTGCGGGAGAGGGCTGCTGGAGGAGGTGCTGAGGAGCGACAAGGAGTCGGAGAGCTTCACGTGGAGGCTTCGAGTGCGGGAGGCAGCGGGGCTGGTGGGGGCGCTAAGCTACCTCCACGGGGAAGGAGCGGGCGGGAGTCTGCACGGAGACGTGGGGAGCAGGAGCGTGCTGGTAGGGATCAGCTTCCACTGCAGGCTGATGGACTGCGGGCTCTTCCGACTGAAGAGGGGCGGGAGGTCCACAGGAGGAGCCGCGGGGAGTGGGACGGAAGGGCGAGGGGGAGGGAGGCTGAAGGGCAGAGGAGGAGAGGAGTACGACGAGGAGGCAGAGGTGAGGGCTCTAGGAGAGCTGCTGGTAGAGCTACTGACGGGGGTCGTGCGAGGAGGGGAGGAGGAGGGCGGGGGAGGGCGAAGTGGGAGAGTGGGGAGGTTTGGGGGAGGGGAGGGAGCTGGAGTGGGACAGGCCGTGCAGGATGCTGGGGGGGAGGGATGCAAGGAAGGGATGATGGGGGT